CTTCAGTAAACTTCAGTTCACTTCCTGATTAAGAATATTAGAAGCTGAATGTAATATTAAACATAAAGCAGTTCAATTCTCATATTTTATTGATGCAGCATCTGAGATATAGGGGAGTAGAGTACCTCTCCCATAATCACACTGCTGATTGTTGAATTAGGCCCAAGAATGCAGATGTCAGCTCCATACTATGTTGACCAAACTATGAACTAAATTATGACTCAAGTTTTTGCTTTATATCTAGTTTCTCATGAAAAGAGAATTAGGACAACATAAGGAACATTAAATCCAACCTATTTTTCCACCTTAGTTGATGAGATTTACATTTCCTTCCAGTAAAGCTCTTAAGAGATGATGACAGAGTAAGTCATATATTGCAGTTCAAAATTAAGGCACACAAGACCAAAATCAACAGTGGCCAAGGAGTTGACCCTGATAAATGAGAAAATTCATCTCACTCACCAATAGGAGTCAGTAAGGCCAGGCCTAAATTCATTTCAACATGAGGATTAACTTACAAAGTACAAACCAGAACAGAATCAGGATTCGAAAAGGACTGAGAAGGCAAAGAAAGACAAATACCACATGATCTCACTTATTTGTGGAATCTAATGAACAAATTAAACTGACAAAATAGAAAAGAGGTATGGGTACATGGAACAGACTGGCAACTGTCAGAAGGGAGCCAGGTTGAGTCCCCAAAAGTTGAGTCAAGGTTCTTTCCTCTCTGATATAAATCAAACCCAATTGTCATGATGAATATATAACTTGTTCTCATGAAACTAATTTATAATACAAAGGCATAGAGTTCTTTGAATGGATAAAAGCCCATATAATTTCTAACACTTCTGCCATGTATACTGTTATTTTTGTTAATTGGGACAAACTATCCATCAATTCACCTTTACCTTGGGATGATTTCTCTTAAAACAACTCATGTGATAGATGAGATGAACCAAAGAACTTATATGCATGTATGCATAACCAATAGACATAGACAACAATGCTGGGGGTGGGGGCAGGATGGGGAGGAGGGTATCTAGGGGGGGAAAGAGAGAAACATCTATAACAAAAATAAATTAATAAAAATTGGAAAAAAAGCAACTCATGTAATTAAGAACTAAAATTATTTTTATTGAGAAAGTAATTAGTTTAAAAAACTAAAAAATGCCTATTTTTGTGTCCCTTAGTAGGCCATGACATAATTGTTAAAATCTGAAAGAACTAAAAGAAAATGAAGAAGTACATAGATAAACAGCAACCTAAGTTTTCTACTACAAAATGATGAGCAAAACAATCATTTGGAGTGCTGCAGAAAATAGCAAGTATAGCCCGACCAGTGTGGTTCAGTGGTTGAGTGTCGACCCATGCACCAAGAGGTCTCTGGTTCGATTCCCAGTCAGGGCATATGCCCGGGTTGTGGGCCCAATCCCCACTGGGGGGCATGCAGGAGGTGGTCAATCGATGTTCTCTCTCATTGATGTTTCTATCTCTCTCTCCTTCTTCCTACATTTCTCTCTAAAAATCAAAAAAAAAAAAAAAATTAAAACAAAAATAGCAAGCGTACCTAATCAACTCATACATCTGGCTAAGAAAATGTCTAGAAAAAATAATGTCATTGATTTCTTTAAGTGCCTTTGATAACATGAGAAGATAGAAATTAATTTAAAAAGGAGTTGTTCAGTTTTAGAACAGAATGTAGACAAAATAATAGAGTGCCCAGTACAGCCTTTCTAGTCAAGAAAATATTGTTGACCTTAAAAAGTAAAAGGGCCAGCCCTGGCCGGTTTGGCTCAGCAGTTAGAGCGTCGGCCTGTGGTCCAGAGAGACCCGAGTTTGGTTCCCGCTAAGGGCGCGTGCCTCGGTTGCAGTTTGTCCCTGGCTCTGGTTGGTCGTGCGGGTGGCAGCCACTCGATGTGCCCCTTTCACGTCGATGTTTCTCTCTCTCTCCCTCCCATTCTATCTGAACAAAAAATGAAAAAATGTCCTTGGGTGAGGATAAAAAAAAAAGTAAAAGGGCCAGTTGTTTTACCAGAAAAATGGGTTTATTTGGGATTGGCAACTGAATGGCAACTTGGGACAAGCCAACTATGGTGAACCACAGACCAGTCCAATGAACACAGGAAAGGAGCAAAGGGGTTCCTTTTTTTTAATCCTCACCCAAGGGCATTTTTGCATTTATCTTCAGATAGAGTGGGAGGGAGAGAGGGAGAAAGAGAGAGAGAGAAATATTGAGGTAAGAGAGACACATCGAGTGGTTGCCACCCACATGATCCTAACCCGGGCCAGAGACAAACTGCAACTGAGGTACGTGCCCTTAGCAGGAACCAAACCTTGGACTCTGGTCTGCTGGCCGACACTCTAACCGCTGAGCCAAACTGGCCAGGGCCAAAGGGTTTGCTTGTATAGGGGAAAAAGAGGAAGTTAGCAGGGACTGTTTTGGAAAAATTCAGGGTGGTAATGGCTACTCATTGGCTGAGTGTGGCAGTTTCTCATTGGCTGGGCTGTAACCAGGAGCCCAAACCTGAAGGCAACCCGCTAAAGAGGTTCAGGTGACAACTAGGTGTTTTGCTGGGCAAGGAGAAATTATTTCCTCTTGCTGTTTGTCCTACTGTTTGGGGTCTGGGTGGCAGTGCATGAGAGCACCTCATTCAGGGCTTCCTGACTCCATTTTAAATGAGGTTTCCTTTATTGTTTAAACAAATTTAAAGATAAACAATGGCCTCAGAGCAAAGAACAAAACCTGGACAGTAAAATGCAGCCTCAGGGTTAACAAGTAAACAAGTTTGTGATCCTCTTTTAAGAAGATCTCAGAAAGATTTCAGACCATTCTTCACTAACTCTCTTTGCTACACAACCTACTTCACCTGTACAAAGTGGCCCAAGGTAGAACTTGTCAAAGAAAGTATGGGTGTGTCTTTTGTTTAATGAAGTGAACACCCAATAAGAATCATAAGCAACCTGACAGAGAGAATTTGTGCTATTGGAAGCACCATGAATTTAATTACTAAAAGGGACAAAAACAATTTAGAATTAGAAGGCTCTGTACTCTCAACCTTTGCACACAGGAAGCACTTGAAGAAAGGTAATCAGCTACACACATGGATCGTTATTTTAAACACGGTAAGATGACTCAGAAGGCTGAACTAAGATAATAGAAGAGCAATTGGTGAGTCATGGGATGAGTCTGAGCCCTAACCAAGGACCTGGAAGCATGTGCCCAGCTGAATTTTAGAATTACTGTGAACTATTCCTCCTCTTGAATAGAATTTTCACTTAAGTGTATCCTATAATTATCTCAATATTGTATGTGAGAAGTGAGGAGGGCAGATATCCTGTCTTTATGCACAGGACTTCTGAATGAGAGGAATAAAACTTGAGGAACTGTACCTGAAGCATGTGTTTTGTACCTAGACCTAATTAAACTGATAAGGTCCTAGATGTTCATACATTGCCATAAGAGGATCAGATCTTGGTGCTCTTGGAAGGAGGTGGATGACTATGGTAGATTAAAGGTGGTTGCAGCCCTGGCCAGTTTGGCTCAGCGGTTGGAGCATTGGCCTGCGGACCAGAGAGTCCCGGGTTCGGTTGCCGCTAAGGGCACATACCAAAAAAGAAAAAAAATTAAAGATGGTTGCAAATTCTTTACACTTCTTTCATGGAAAGATTCTTTTTTCCTTCCCTTTGAACCTGATCTGGCCTATGGTTACTTTGAACAATGGATGATCCTAGAAGTGATGCAGAACTGATACTATATACTGGCCTGGGCCTAGACTTGAAGAGGACTAGTGCTTCTACTGTGGTCTCCTATAAACCTGAGAAGCTATGTAAGAAATATAACTAGACTAGATATCTGCCAGGCTAACAACATCAAGAAGCTCTGGAAAAGGGAGTTAAGAATAGGAATCTGACACCCAGCAGTTCCAGAGGAGCCATCTGTCACCTCGCTAATTCATTTTATATAATGGAGAAGAAGCAAGCCCTACTGTCCCATCTTAATTCCTGTGGCTTAGAATTGTGAGATAAAAGAATGATAAATCATTAGCCTCGGCCACTAAGTTTTGATGTAGGTTGTTTTGTAACAGTGGATAACCAGAGCACATGTTAATTATGTGCAGAAAACTTTGTGTCTTGCAAAGAACACAAAATGTTCACTGAAGGTGAGCAATACTTAATAAAATATTGTTTTCTATTCCCTATCATTGTCAAGCTCATTTACTGGAGTGCAATGGACATAATTCATCATAAAAGATGTCAACAATTTCATGAAATATGATTACTAATTCTGAAAACAATTTTTTTAGAAAAACAATTTTTAAAATGAAAGTTACATCAAGTGAACTTACTTCATTAGATAGTATATTGGGTCAGTTAATGAGGAAGCAGTAAATTCTAACAATGTGTATTATATTCAGTTATATAACCTGGAATCACAGATCATGACATCTTTGACTTCAGTTAATTATTTCTTTCAAGCAGAAAAGGGGACCCATATTGAGTTTCTGATTACAATTCAAGCCTTGGTGGTGGCTGTCAATCTCTCTTTGCCTTTTAGTATTATTGATTACTTTATCTGTTCATGATTTGTTTTGGTGTTTTGTTTTTTTCTCCAACTGGACAAATGTTTCTAGTCTATATGAATCAGTATTGCAACGTAGTTCAAGTTATATAATCGTCTCTATATGTATATATTTTTAATCATAATCACAACCGGGAATTTCTGGGTGTTTAGCTATAAACTGGAAAAGTCACAAGATGATAGGTCACGAACATTCATTAAAAAAAACTGCATGCAGCTATTTTTCCTGTGGTCCCAGCCCCGGGGCTGGGCGGGGCTGTGTAGAGCGCTCAGTTTCCAACGCGCCTGCGTGGAAAGCACTGGCGCGAAGAGGAGGAAACAGAAAGCCGTTACAGCCGTTGGCGCCACACTTGACACTTTTCCGGACTGCCAAGGTCTCGGTGCTCGGTTTGCGCGGGCCCAAGCCCAACTTTCAAAGGCCATGAATTACCGGCGCCCACCTTACAATGTGTCGGGCATGACGTCCGTGAAGGTGGACAACCTGAACGACGCCACCACAGCCAACAGCCTGCTGAGTATCTTCCAGAAGTTCGGGGAGATCGGCGACGTGTACATCCCACGAGACCGCTTCACTCAGAAGCCTCGCGGCTTTGCCTTCGTTCGTTTCCTGAGCAGGTGCCATGCCGAGGATGCCATTGATGCCCTAGACCAGATCATGGTGGATGGCCGCGTCCTGCGCGTGCACATGGCGCGCTACGACCGCCTCGCCAACCTCCAGAGCGGCGGCCACGAGGAAAGTCTCGCCCGCAGGTACGAAGGGTGGAGCCTCAGCCCGGTGGGGCCAAGCGCGCTCCAGCCCCAGGGCGCGGCTCACTCCGGCCTCGAGAAGTCTCCAGCTCGCTCTCCTGATACAACTCCCGCAGCCTTTGAGTACACGTCCACCACCTGTTTCGAGTCCAGCCTCTCGATGTCCGGATCTTCCTCGGCGGCAGCATCCGGGTTGGGATCCAGAAGCCTTCCAGCAGAGGAAGAGTCCGCGTCACCGCCCAAGAACCCCTCCAAGTCTCCTGAAGACGAAGGAGCGGAAGCTGGTAGGATAATAAGTTATTAGCAAGTAACCTGACTGAGGACTGGGGAGAGGGGAGGAGGAGAACCCATTCCTTGGAAAAAGCTACTAGCTGTTGGAAAGGTTATTCTTTAGCATGTCTACGTTTTTATTATTTTAAATATGCTTCAAGTGGTGAACTTGATTTCATGTGGTATTTGGTTGCTGTTATTAAAATATCTTCTAAGTTAGTGAGGTGGACAATTTCAAGTTACGATTGCTTGGGACATTTGAGGTAAAAATTTCATTTATCGTTACACAGTCTTTGTTTGAAAGGAAACAGATAGTTCATCTAATTTGTAGCCACCAGATTTAAGAACATGTGAGCAGCCTTTTGTTCGGTAGTCAAAACTTGCTAGTGATTAACTCACCATTGCTATCATTCTTGTAAAAATAAAGACCTACTAAAATTGCTGTAAATGAATTGACATGTGCTATTTACCTTTGGATCTAAAATGGTAATCTGGACCTGCATTTCTGTAAACACATTTCAGATGAAAAGAATGTATTCTTTTAAGGATTATTTATCAGACAGTTCTAACCTCATGTATTTTTGTGTACTAGACATAGTTGTGTAGCAATTGAGTAATGCCGGCTGTTAAGGTGGTGTTTCACAGTGCAAAATGCTTGGATGTTTCATGTTTTACCCCGACTGCTCCTATGTAAGGGTGATACGCTGTGCAAAAACAAATGGCTATCCAGGTTATGAAAAGTCTGACAACTGTACTTTCTGTCATCCTAGCCTGGCATATATATAACAGAGCATACAGTTAGCACATCTAGCAGATGATAAATACACCTTTATTTTTTCCTTCTTACCCCCAAAGTGGTAAAGCTGATCATCATCTATAAACTTACATATATAAAATGTTAAGAAACAAATGTTTTGTAACTTTGTTAAATACCAATAACATGCGGTATCTCTTTGCTTATGGATATACTACACTATAACCACTTTCTGAAATTTAATTAGAACATTTTTGCTGGTGTTTCAAAAATGTTTAATTTGTTGTGATTATATTCTCATTAATAAAATTTGGAAACAAAAGATATTAAAGTCATCTGTCTCAAATAGTTCATAAATAAAAATGTTAAGACAACTGAGTACTAACAATCTTCACAGATCCAAGGTATAAATATTTTAACTTAGCAAGCTAAAATCAAAGTCACATACATTTGCTACTACCTCACAGCTCTGATCCCCACACTTATCATGACCTTACAGTGTCTCTGCTCTGAATCTTTTTGAACTGCCTTCTATGGCTCAATACTCCATTTCAACTTATTGGCTTTGAATTAATGTTCTGGGAGACAGTTATCCCTAGCCTGACTTTGGCATTTGGACCTGCTCTGATTACTTGGCTTCTCTTTTAGTTAAACATTGCTGGTACTAACTCGAGCCCCACTCAAACTTTCCTCTTTACTTCTGATTGCCAATCCACCACTCCGGTTCAGGCGTTATTTTCAATTTCTTTTTGGTTGACTTTATTTTTCCATTACAGTTTACATTCAATATTATTTTGTATTAGTTTCAGGTGTAACAGTAGTTACACAATCATATAGTTCATAAAGTGGTCCCCCCAATATTTCAAATACCCACCTGGCACCATATATAGTTATTGTGATATTATTGACTCTATTCCCTATGCTGTACTTTATATCCCTGTGCCAGAGAGGAGGAGCGTTGGGTGGGCTGGGTGACAAAGGTGAAGGAATTAAGAAGTTCAAATTGGTCCGGCAGGTGTGGCTCAGTGGTTGAGCATCGACCCATGCACCAAGAGGTCACTGGTTTGATTCCGGGTCAGGGTGCATGCCCAGGTTGTGGGCCCTATCCCCAGCGGGGTGCATGCAGGAGGCAGCCAATCGATGTTTCTATCTATCTCTCCCTCTCCCCTCCTCTCTCTCTAAAATCAATGAAGAAAAAAATTGGAGTCTAGAGAGATTAAATGATTGGGCAAACAATGGATTAATGATTGGACTTAATTAAACCTGGGTCTCTAAATTCTCAATCCAATCATCTTTCCTGTATATTGCATCCCCTCAATACATTGTCTTCAAATACATTGAATTGAAATGATGTTTGGGAAAAATATTAAAAACAAGCCTTTAAAGTAGACAATAACTATAATGTTAGAGGAATTAGATGTTTGAGATGAAGTACCTACATTCACATTGCACAGGAAATTTCAAAATTAAGTGAAATTGACCTTTCAGTAGTATCCAGAAACTACTCTTAAGCCAATGGTTACTTAGCTAACCAAGCATCTTTTTAAACTTTTTAAACACCCCACACAAATATGCTCTTGTGCACACACACCTACTCACACTCATGAAGACTTTGCTAAACAGACATCCTAAAAATCTCACCAGGGAGATAATTGGTCACATTACCTCTCTCTTTATTAAGGTATCAATGAAAGACATTTTACTACCCACCAAACCATTTTGTTTATCAAATGTTCAGTGGTACTTTACTTCACAATATGTCCTCTTCATCTGAGAATTAAATGAGTTATTGAGTTAAGGTATCAGAATACACTGACTAATAAATATATGTAACCCATACAAAAATAGAGATATTTTGAAAGGACCTCATGGTACAGAGAAATAGAAAATTTGGAGGTGAGACAAGATGGCAGATGCCTAACGAAGTTCTGTCTACCTGCTCCAAGCACAGGACCGGACTTGAGGCTAAACTGCAGAACATTCAACTTGGAAAACCACCTGAAAATAGCTGACTAGAAACACTGCAAATGGGGAGCACGGAGAAGGGACAGGAGAAGACGCAAAGTGGGTGAGCGAACTTGCACAGCTGCACAGTGCGGCTGGGAAGACAGAGAGGGTGGCGCAGCTCCTGCCCCCTGGAAAAGCGGGGACTCAGCCCCCCACAGAGACCCCAAATGAGAGCAACAGAGAAGGGAAGGGGAGCCCATGTAGCATCAGTGGTGATTCAGCCCACCAGGGGAACTCAGCACTATCCTAGGCTAAAAGCCAGTGCGTGGTTACACTGCCAGCCTGGAAAGTTCCCTGGTTGTGGGAGCTAGGGAACCCACAAAGCAGAACGGCACACCTGAGGAGGGTCTGAGCAGAAAATAAAGCAGTGAATCTGAGGGTCCGGGTATTTGCTAAAAGAATTTTGACTGGGGCAAGCCAGAGTGCCAGGGAAAGAGGCGCATTCCTCCCCACTCAAGCAAAGAGGAGGCATCCCTTCCCCCACCCAAGGAACAGCACTGGGCTAGAAATCCGTACTCCAGAAGCAGGGCCTAGTGGTGCTGGGAGTAGGACATCTGGCTGGGTGGGAGCCGGGGCGGAAGCCCAGAGCTGCACCCCATGGAATAGCTCTGGGGTGGAAATCAGTAGGGCCTGAAAGAGCTGGAGATTCGGACCCAGACTCTTGGAAAGGGAAACCCTGCCCACCAAACTACTTGGGATCCCGCCTCGCAGGGCTTTAGCCAGGAGGGCCAGGGCCAGGTCAGGACAGCAACTCACATTGGCCCATTACCAGAGCCAATTCAGACCCCTGAATAAGAAACTTCTCCAAAGAGAACATACAGATGACCAAGAAAGCATGAAAAAATGCTTGCCCTGGCCAGTTTGGCTCAGTGGTTAGAGTGTCAGCCCGTGGACCAAAGAGTCAAGGGTTCAATTCTAGTCAAGGGCAAGTACCTCTGTTGCAGTTCATCCCAGCCCTGGTCAGGGTCCTGTGGGAGGCAACCCGTCCATGTGTCTCTCTCACGTTGATGTTTCTTTCTCTTTCTCTCTCTCTCTCTCTCTCTCTCTCTCTCTCTCTCTCTCTCTCCCTCTCCCTCCCTCTCTCCCTCTCCCCCCTCCCTCCCTCCCACTCTGTCTGAAGATAAATGCAAAAAATATCCTCAGGTGAGGATTAAAAATTTTTTTTTAAATACTCAATGTCACAAATCATCAGAGAGATGCAAATTAAAACAACAATGAGGTATCACCTCACACCTGTCAGAATGGCCGCCATCAACAAATCATCAAACAACAAGTGCTGGTGAGGGTGTGGAGAAAAGGGGACTCTAGTACACTGCTGGTGGGAATGCAGACTGGTGCAGCCACTATGGAAAACAATATGGTGTTACCTCAAAAAAAGTACAAATTGAATTTCCATTTGATCCAGTGATCCCACTTCTAGGAATATACCCTAAGAAGCCTGAAACACCAATCAGAAAGAATATATGTACCCCCATGTTCGTAGCAGCACTATTTACAATAGCTAAGATTTGGAAACAGCCCAAGTGTCCATCAGTAGATGAATGGATAAAAAAGCCATGCTACATATACACAATGGAATATGATGCAGTGTAAGAAAGAAAGATGTCTTATCCTTTGAGACATCATAGAGGGACCTAGAAAGTATTATGCTAAGTGAAATAACCAGTCAGAGAAAGACAAGTATATCATATCATATATCATATCATATCAATCATATATCACACTTACTTGTGGAATATAATGAACAAAATAAGCTGATGAACAAAATAGAACCAGAGACATGGAAGCATGTGAGCGGGAAGCAGGGTGAGCGGGGGTGGGAAGAGATAAACCTAAGAATTTATATGCATATATGCATAACCAATGGACACAGACAGCAGTGTGGTAAAGGCAGGGGTGGATAGGAGGAGGGTAACAATGGGGGGGAAAAGAAAAGACATCTGTAATAAAAAAATTAATTAATAAAAAAAAAAAAATAGCCCGGCCAGTGTAGCTCAGTGGTTAAGCATTGACCCATGCACCAAGAGGTCACCGGTTCAATTCCTGGTCAGGGCACATACCCAGGTTGTGGGCCTGATCCCCAGTGGGGGGCATGCAGGAGGCGGCCAATTGATGTTCTCTCTTATCGATGTTTCTATCTCTCTCTCCTTCTCCCTTCCTCTCTCTCTAAAATCAATAAAGAGAAATCTTTAAAAAATAAAATACAATAGAGAAAATTTATCTAGCTAAGTTAACATTATATGCCATAACCAC